CCCTTCCAACCCAAACCATTCTATGATTTGTGATTTTTGTGGTTTTGTTAAGGGGCTTTGTTATCAACAGTGTGGGTTTGTACTATAAATATCTCGGTGTTGATAACAGATCCCATTTAAGCATTGATGTTAAGATCTCTGCTCAAAACTTCCTAAGGTGCTGTGTACTGCATTAGTCATGAAACTAAAACTTTTGATAGACTACAAGGAAGGTGGGGGGGGGTGGGTAGAGTTCCTAGGCAGTTACAGCTCTTATGTATGAGTTTACTCTCTGATAACACGCTGTGATCCCGTTACAATACACATGTGACAGGGAGACCTTCCCTTTAATAAACAAGTACAAACATTTTCTGTGAAATACCAACCTTTCCATTAGAAGCACAAAGAGCTCCTGTTTTGCCTATGCCTGCTGGATAAAAAGGAAAACGATAAACTGTTCAGGTGTTCATTTCTTTTGTGTATCAGTTCACAGGCTTGCCCTCAGTTATCTTTTGAAACTTGAAGCTGCCCACTTGATTTCCACAGCTACTAAACAATTTCTCACATGTTATATCTGCATGACTGAGCAAACTAAATTCTATGCTGGGTTAATGTAAATGTTTCTAGCATTTGCTAAAATGTGTGGGCTAAAACTGCCCACCTGCATATATTAGCCTAAGCTTTATCAGGGCAGGAGTGGTGAAAGACCCCGATGCTTGTTGTCATCCTTTGATCCAGTCACAGGATGCTAATATTGGGCCCCACTGTCAGATGTTTTTGCCTGCAGATCTGCCATCAGAGTACGGGGAAGTAACCTAGTCATTTCACGATTTGGTTAATCTGGGCAGTTGACAAGGGCCAAAATATAAATGAATTTCATATTCTGTCAACTAGGAGCTGTTAACCGAATTAAGGAGATAATTACTAATGGAGTAGTGAAAGCAGCCACAGGTTCTAGTCCGACGTTCAACGGAGCTACGGTTACTGTCTATCACCAGCCAGCCCCTATTACTCAGTTGTCTCCAGCAGTTGGCCAGAAACCTCCATTCCAGTCAGGGGTGAGTAATTCATTTGTGTGAACTTCATTGATATCACTGATTACAAGATTTACCTATTCCAAAGTATACATGTAATGTGCTATTTATTTAGGAAAAAAATAAAGAAACCTTGTGTGTTGTGAAAACTGGAGGACTAATCAGACTGAGTCTGAAGAGTGAGACTCAGATGACAGTAGCCTCCTAAAAGAAAAGGGATGGAGAGAGCGGTCCTACTTACAGAAGAGCAAAGGGCTGACTGTGCCATCCAACACTTAACTGCTCTGACTGTCATAGAAGTAAGATTTCTGGCCTTCAGTGAAATGAACATCCTAATTCTAAGAGTGAAATAAGCTTTTACTGTTACATTTTCAGATGCATTATGTTCAGGACAAGTTATTTGTTGGTCTGGAACATGCTGTACCTACATTTAATGTGAAGGAGAAGGTGGAAGGGCCTGGTTGCTCCTACTTGCAGCACATTCAGATTGAAACGGGTGCCAAAGTCTTTCTTCGTGGGAAAGGCTCAGGTTGCATAGAACCGGCATCAGGCAGAGAAGCTTTTGAACCCATGTACATCTACATCAGGTATGAGGGAATTTTGAGAAAAAAACATTTAAAATCCCAGTGATCAGTCATGAGTGTAGCTTAATGTTTAATCGGTGTGGGGTAGTCTTAATTCTGACTGACAATGCAAATAAAAAAGTCAGTTTCAAAAACTACTTTATCTTAACAGATCTCTCTAAAGTGATAAAGAGATCAACCATACAGTGATATGGTATAAAGTGATATTCAACCATAAGGTATTGCTTTTATGGGGAGCACAGTAAAGCTGAGTTCTTGGGCTTGAGTTGCAATATTGAGCTTTAACGCAAGAATACAAAATGTATTGACCAGTCAAGTCAGTGTTCTGTGCTCATTTCTTGCAGAAGTTAGACTAACCTGAATTTTCATGTAGAAAATAAATACTCATCGCTTCTGTTCACAGTTGTGCTAACTAGCTGCAGAGCTGCTAGAGTCCTGATCAGTTACTAAAGGGACAAGATCTGACAGCAGGTTTCTGATGAAAGAAGTAGCTCCCAAATTTGATGGAAACATTTGTGCTTATGAGGGGGTTTTTTTTATATGTTTTCAGTCACCCAAAGCCAGAAGGTTTGGCAGCTGCTAAAAAGCTGTGTGAGAATCTATTGCAAACCGTGAGTAGCTCTTACAAATACGAGGTTTCAGAGCCTGTCGTAGCTTTAGCGTGTGCCTGGCTAATGATTTTTTTATGCTTCCACAGAACTGTCCATGTGTTCTGACTTGCTAGTGGTTTTTTCCTTTTAAGTACTGCTGTCTGATTTTTGTACAGTCAATAAACACTTCTCAGGATGGAGCTGTAGTAGTGGGGGAAAAAAATAAAAATGCTTCCTGACCAGAACTGGGCGTGAGGGACAGACAATTGTCTGACTATACACAGACATAAAGAATCCTGGTTTTTTTCTGATTGCAGTAGCTTCCCTTGCTTTAGCTTTAAATGGTGTTCAGAGCCATGCTGTCTGCTTCATCTTTCCTAAAGTGATTGTTGTACCCCAAAAAAAAAGTAGAAAATCTGAGAGAGACATAGAAAATTAATTTCTCAGTTTTTCCTATACGAATACAAATACAGTAAAATCCTGTGAGACAGTCTTTCTGTTAGTATTGATAATTGAGTATGGGCTACAAAGTCTCTTTTGAAAAATTCATAGAAGCTTTTAGATTCTTTGACTTTTGAGTATTTTGTCTCTACTGAAGTAATTAGTTTGCCACTCTATTTTGTGTGAAAGATTATCCTGTATTTTACACAAATC